TTTCATTTCAAGGTATTTGTCATTCTCATATTGGTAGTTTAACAAATAAGCTGAAGTACGATGGAGCATGCTGTGCATATCTATCTTATGCGCATTAGTTCTGATTGGAAATTGGAAGGGAATGGAAAACTGCAAGGAAATGTGACGAGAGATCTAATTGAATTCTCAAATCACAATGGAAGTCATGGCTGTCCTACCTTCTTGAATGCTTTTATTCCTGTAAGAAGGAGCTCTGTTCTTTTAAACCAAAATAAGAGGAAAAATATTATCAGGTTGCTAGTTCTAGAGCCACATACCTGTCTTCCTTTACCCTCTTGTTCTTTCCTTTCTGTTCCTGTGTCCTTATAATCAACTTACAGATTGTTATTTCCGTCTCAAATTTCTAAATGTATAGTATCATTTAGATATTTATTTTCCAGTTTTTGGAGAAACGTGATGTGAACTTGAAGGATGAGAAATTGCAGTAGTGTATAGATAAGAAAACAATACTAAAAATTGCTTTACAGGCAGTAGGTTTGCCCCCACCCCACCCCATCTCTTTTGATTCTGATTCCATCAAGCCGTTTAAAGGCTCAAACCCTGCATATATAACTTATTACTCACAGCTACCCATCAATACAACCAAAATATCACCCTAGAATCTTCATGACGTAGGAGGTTGCCTAATTTGGAAAAGAGTGAAAAATGAAGACGTCCTATCAACCTTCCAAAATTGACATTTTCCACTGCAGAATGCCTTTTTGATAAAAGAAAATGTAGACATGTTTGCCTTTGTTATTCTCAACTCTAACAATATCTTAAATTACAATGTTCTCTTGCAGGAGGAAGAGTTAAAAGGTGCTGTTGTCCTCATATTTGCAAATAAGCAGGTTTGTGTTATTGACATCTTGCTCGTGCTCTGGAAGAGTGAATTAGCTTGTCTTTAATGTATCCAAAAAGGCACTAATGTTCAATGTTGAAGATCTCTCTGATTCTTTAGACCTTCTATTTCAAACCAATCCAATTGCACCCTGCCAAAACGCTTGGGACCTGGGTCCACCATCATCACATCACATGAACACATTTAGTGACTTAAAACAATTGTGAACACATTTTTGATGTTGCCTTATTTGCAGGATCTTCCTGGTGCATTTGATGATGCTGCAGTAACTGAGTCCTTAGAGTTGCACAAGATTAAAAACCGTCAATGGGCTATTTTCAAAACGTCTGCCATAAAAGGGGAAGGCCTGTTTGAGGGCTTGGACTGGTAAGCTCAGCTAATTGATCTTATGGATATGATGCCCTTTTTGTCTATTTTTTCTTCTCTACTTCCTTGAATCCTGTTCTTTCACTTTCCTCTCTCTTATAATGGGACTGACATCATCTGTCTTGACAACTTTACACCCTGATCTCCACTATATCAATGTTTTTTCATTTTATGAAAAACGCAGTGTAAAAGTAAATAAGAAATGGAACTCATGGTTTGACTCAACTGAAGTTGCATGATGTTACTGTAATAAAATTGAGTTTCTCGTACCCACCAATATGCTTAAGTAGTAATGAGTAATCAATTTCTCTCAACCTTTTTTGGGAACGCTATCTGTATCCTGCCCATTTTGGTGGAAGAATGCATCTCTCCAGATGTTCATGCTGCAAATACCAGTTACTATTGAATATGGCATCGTATGGCTCTCTTCTTACTTCTTCATGTACTGTTA